CTATGTACCGTTGCTATTGATGTTTTTGTTTTTGCTGAAAAACAGACGAAACTGGCCGAGGGTTGAAATGGCAATAGCTATTTTTTCTAAACTATATCCCTTTATATGATTTTAAATACAAAATTTTAGATTTTTATTCCGAACAAACTTTTTCTGACACTGAAAGTGTTAATAAAAAATCGTATGAAATTAAATAAATAATAGTTTTCGAAAAACTGTTCACATGACTTAGAATGACAATATAAAAAAATCATTGGAGTCGAAAATACACCAAACCTATAACTTGTGCACACGATATTTATTTTTTTAAAAACTGCGGATATATTTAAAACTTTATTGAGAACAAAAATTAATTATATTTTTAAAGCTCGGGGATCGCTTGGTGTTTAAAAAATTATTTTTTTGCAAATTATAAAAATATTAATTCATCTTATCCCATTTTCACACACTTTCATCTAATTTCCATAACCTCAATAATTTCCGGGTGGCCCACTACCCCACTACAAAATAAAAAAATCATTGGATTCGAAAATACCCCAGGCCTATAACTTGTGCACACGATGCATATTTTTCAAAATCTGCGTATATATTTTAAACTTTATTGAGAACAAAAATTAATTATATTTTTCTTGCTCGAGCATCGGTTGGTCCTTAAAAAATTATTTTTCATTTATTACAAACATATTAATTCATCTTATCCCATTTCACAGAAACTCGCATCTAATTTCTATAACCTCAATAATTTCCGGGTGGCCCACTACCCCAAAAAGCAATTCCTAACTCTAAATCATTATTATGTGTTAAATCTTTGGCTTGTGTGCATTTTTCAAACATCTCATGCAAACTTCTATTTTTATTTTGTTTTTTTTCTCGTTTCTTTCATTTTGTATTTTTTTTTATTTTCCAAAAAAAAATATTCCCACAAAATTAGCATACAACATTTTGTTTCTTCTTGTTTTTTTGCTTTGAAACATTGTTGATACTACACCACACAAACACACTCATACCCATGCAGCAACAACGATTGATTGGCATAGCCGATATTTTTTGTAGCTTGAGTTCAGCCGAAAACCCCTCGAAAAAACGAGGTTATTAAAAACTCATTAAATTGTCTGTGTAATTTGCAAAAAGAACAGCATCAATGGAAACAAAAGTGGCGAGAAAATGAAATACAAAAAAAAATTGAGAAAAAAATAAAATTTTGGAAAATCTAGAAAAGAAGGGGGTTAGTATGATGTTATTGGTATTATTCTTATTAGGATTCTGATTAGTCTTCTGACTAGAAAGGAAAAAGGTGGCTTTGTAGACGAACTGAAGCATTAGGAGTCTTGAAAATGAAGTTGAAGTAGGGATAAGTAAATCGACTTTGGACTAATCGATTAATCGACTTTTTGTGTTGAAAAGTCCATGATGCAATAATAAGGTATGTATACCAACAAAAACCTTTGTTGTTGTCTCGATTATCTGTCAAATTTTTCCATATGGTTGGCAACACTGCACATGGAATTCAAGTAGAAATTACCCACTTTGACAGTTAATCAAGACATCATCTGCGCTAAATGGACTACCTATTCATTATGCCATGGAAAAGTCTAAAAGTCGACCTTTGACCTTAGAGAAAATCGCAAAATCGACTTTTCAAGATCGACTTTCGATTTTCTTTATAAATTCTTGGTTTATTGTCCAATTGTCCATAAATTACACATTCCAGAACTTTTTTCATCTGTTGACAACAATTCTTATAAAAAATTACATTTTTAGTCGATTTTGCTTTAGTGGTAAAAGTCGAAAATCGTTTTGGAACGTGTTTGACAAAATCTAAAGATCGAAAAGTCGACTTTTTAGTCAAAGGCAAAAATCGACAAGTCTTAAAATCGACTTTTTGGTCAGAGGCAAAAATCGAAAAAGTCTACTAGTCGACTTTTGCGCTTGACTACGTATCCCTAAGGTGAAGCAGGGAGATGAATAGAGTATATTTAAACGATCATCCGAAGAGAGTATAAATAGCTAAAGCTATATAGAGCTAATGCACAGGGATTCTTTACAAATCTTGGTCAAATTGTCTGATCAGACATCTGACAATAGAGGAAAAATGTGACTGCATAGACAAAGTGAAGATCATAGTATCGAGGCGAAGCAGGGAGATGAATGGAGTATATATAAACAAAGATCTGAAGGGAGTATATGTAATCGAGCTTAAGCACAGTGATTCTTTACAAATCTTTAGAAGGGTATTTTTATATAGGAACTGAAGGACATATTCTTAGGGGACAATATAAGAAATTGTCTACAAGAAAAATCTAAGACTTAAATTAAAAAATAAATAAATTTATTGAGAACAAAAATTGATTTTTTTATTAAACATTTTTTATAGTACTCTGAACGACTTCAGGGTCTTAATATGGAAAGAACATTGACCTTTCTATGACGATAAAATGTTGTTGGTAGTATACAACTGCTCATTATATCGTATATCAATGATTTTACGGAAACCAAGTCTATAGTGCAAATCGTTTCTTCAAAAATTATAAACAATTTTTTACAAAAATTATTAAGAACAAAAATTGTTTCTTCATATTTTTTTTCGCAGAACTCTATATGATATTTTTTGAAAACATATCGTAATTTATATAAGTATTTTTGTGGGAATTTTTAAGAGACCATTACTGAAATTTTTACCCGTCCTCATGTTAATCATATCTATGTTATGTACTGCACAAAAACCCATATCGGCATTTGCATTTAACACCTGCATTACCAAAACAAAAGAAAAATAATGAAAACATGCCAATAAAACAAAATAGCTAAGAAATTCTTTCAGATGTGTTTTGTAGAAATATAGCAAAAAGTACAGAGGATTCAGTGACGTGGGTCTGGAGAATATATTAATAGAAAATCGATAGCTAATCAACAAAATTGTTTACAGAAAATTGAAAATTGTAGGTCTGAGGCGGTCTTGAAAAAATGATGGTGAACAACAAAAAATTATTTGTTTCAATTTTGAGAGCAAACCCTTTATGATTTGCTCTCAAAATTACAAAATATAATGTGGATAAAGAGTCAGTGTTTTAAAAAATACTGGATACAGGAGAATCAATTCATTTTAAAAACAATATAATTGACATCTGTCCAAAGAGTTTCTCCAAAAAATTAAAATTTATTCAATAATTTATTGAGATCAAAAATTAATTATTTTGTTTAATACATTTTCATTGGACTCTATATTTTCTCGTCGATGCAAATATATAGACCCATGGAAGTTGTAATATATAGTAGAAAAAATATATGAGTATAAATGATGGGCTCTGGCGGTCAATTAGATTCCCTGAAGGCCCCAACTAGTACAGGAACGAGTTGTAGATTTCCATGTTAAGAAAGTTATTTTTCAAAAAATTTTGAGATCAGATATTAATTGTTGGTGAACAAAAATTATAAATTAAAACCAGTGAGCGGAGCAGTATAGTCGGACGGGGCCGACCATACGATACCCTACACAACTACCACGGAACCCTAACTTTCTGCGGATGTTTATTCCGAGCTTTTGGGGCTGCACAAAGCTATAATACCCTGACAACATAGTTGTGTAGGGTATAAAAAGTCATAGGCATAGAATTTACTCCCTAAAATTTAAAATAATTTATTGAGAACAAAAATTAATTATTCTTTGCAAATTTTCTATAGGAATATATATATATATATATATGTACGAAGTGATTTTTAAAATTCAAAGTCTTTATATTTAGAAATACACGGCCTCGAATAATCTATTTTATTTCTAGAGGAGTATTTTGTTGATGAGAGCTTTAAAAGGCGATCAGAAGGGAATGGAACCTTAATGTCCATCCAATGGGGTATGGGGTATACACAATAGACTATGTATAAGAATAAAATGGCGGATTGGTTATATTTACAATTTTAGATTTTCCGTAGATTTATTGAGAACAAAAATTAATTGCTTCTTTAATACATTTATTATATTATTTGTTGTATAATTCATTTTTAATATTTGTGTGTCATAACAATTATTTTCTTTATTATGAAAATGAAAGGCGATCTCCCAAAGCCTTTTGACCATGATTTTCCGTAGATTTATTGAGAACAAAAATTAATTGTTTCTTTAAAACTTTTGCTAGATTATATTTTGTATAATTCATTTTTAATATTTGTGTGTCATAACAATTATTTTTTATTATGAAAATGAAAGGTTATCTCCCAAAGTCTTTTGAACATGATCTCACTTCTTTCATTCATAATAAATGGACCACCCCTGAATTTAATATGTCATGCGGGGCAAAACAATACATTCACCCCTAGAAGACTATTATGCTACGCCTCTGCCTAAAATATTAACATCATTTAGAAATAATACACCATAATTAGAGGCAACAAACTCCCAAGCCAACAGTCAACCAGACAGACAGATCGACTAACTATCGAAGAAATAAATAGCAATCAATTTGGACCTGATGGTTGGTTCGGTAGTTAAATATTTGTTTTCTGTTGGAAGTTTTTGTTGTTGTTGTTTATAAATGTTGCCTTTAGTTGTGGCAAATGTCATGTTGCATTACAAAATAATTACTTAGACGGCAATTGAATGTTGGTTGTTTGGATGGTTGGTTGTATGCTGCATGTCTATGTCAATCAATAAATTGCAAGTTAATTGCCAGCATAATTATTATGCAAATTGTTTGGCAATAAAAACAAACATAAACACCAAAGTACACATATCACACATACATATGTATATTTAAAAAAATATATATCTACATATGTAACAATTTAACACCAAATTTCAAATATCATTTTTTATATTTATAACCTCTTCTCATATTCTCTTTCTTCATTTGGGAACTTCCCCTCTTCTTCTTCTATTTACAGCTACTGCTAAGCTAAGCCACAGAGCAAGATAACCAAAAAACAAAAGCCACACACAACAGGCCCCCCTCCAAACACACAAACAAATTTGGGGAAAAACGCTCTACATATGCTGTTGTTGTTGCTGCTTCGGTTGAAGTTCGTTGTGAACTTTTCCTCAACAGATTTTAAGAATGCGCCTATTTAAAACGCGCAAATCCATAGACACATTCAGTTCTGCCACAGCATCACAGCACAGTGCGTCCGCCACAGCCAACGAAACCTATACACAACACTCGCCCATCGCATCATGTGCTTCGAAGTTGACAAAAACGATCAGTGGCTCGTCATCGATATCGTCGTCATTGCCGGATTTACACGATAATTCACCCGTTATGATTTTAAGTTGCACCAATTTGAGTAGAAGTGGCATAACGGCCCAGCCGTCCAACAGCAGCAATAATGCCAACAGCAGTAACATAAATGTTCACAATACCGCACCCTCGTCGACAACAAGTACCGCACCGCCAACACCCAAAAGTAATGAATCGTTTCAGAACATTTCCCCACAACAATGTTCGACACCGGGTCTGTCCTATCAACACCTGCAGAGTGGTCGGCAGACACCATCCGCCCTATCGGTGGCCTCTTTAAATGATGCCGTTCTCCAACGTCCCGCCAGTGTACATTTGTTTGGTCACAAAGCCAATTCATTGTTTTTGAATTATGGTGGTAGTAGTTCAAACATTGATCATGGACAAACTCACAATTCCAGTGGGGGAGGTGGAGGACAATATCAAAAATATAGTAACTCCCATAGTTCGAGAGGTGTCTTGGGCCAGCTACAAAAGAATTCTTCTTCGAGCAGTAGTTGTATATATGAAAAGGCAAATGGTGTTTCACACAGCAGACAAAATGGTGGAGGTTCGGCGTCATCCATCATGCAGAATGGTATGCACAATAAGGATTCGGGATCGTTTATGGGATCAAATGGTAAGTAGATGGATATTTTATTTAAATGTAAAAAAGAAAATCGGAAAAAACTATCGAAAAAAAAACTTGATTGACGTTAGGGGAAATGGAAGTAGGTCGGTTTAAATACAGAATACATCAACGGATCCATGCCAGATATAATCTAGAAAATATCCAGAAGCTTATATATAGTTCTAACTCCTTCTGTAGACCACCTAGAAGACAGTCTATAAAGATGTATATACGGATATAAAATACAAAAGGGTGATTATGTCTACAATTAGAATTAGCAACCAAGTAGTTGGATCTCTTTGGCTTATATTCCGAATAAAATTAATAGGCTAAAGGTAACCTATATATTTTTATAGGGTTCTCTTCTACATGTTGAAAATGTCTTCGATATTTACGTTGATTCCATGTGTCTATATAAATTTATTGAGAACAAAAATTAATTGTTTCTGTCTGCTTGATGATGTGTGCCTACATGGATTTTTGGTTTCCCTATGGTCCGTTGGAATTAAACCCTTTTTAAATCAAATTTGAGTACAAAAATTAATTGGTTTGGTTTGCCAGGATCTCCTCAGGATCATTTCTATATTTGGCCACAAAAAGGGACCCTGATTCAAATTTTCTTGAAATATTTATTGAGAACAAAAAATAATTGTTTTGGCTTGCAGAATCTTCTAAGGATCATTTCTATATGAGGCCACATAAAGAGAGTATTTTATCAATCTTTCCCAATCAAAAGATCTTTAATATATTCCATTTATTTCCTTTTTTGGTTGGACCACTGTAATTTGCACATCTTTATTGCAACTTTGTATTGAACTTTGCATAATTTCCTGCCAAAAAAAAAACGAAACGAATCCTATACCTCGTCTTGCCATAAAAGCCATTAAAAAAGAGTCAGCCCATCATCAAATACCAATCGTGGTCGTAATTTTTTTTTTCTTTTTTCATGGCCATCTATCTCATGGACATGTGACAGACATTTCCCCCCTTCGGAAACTGATTGATTGCGGTAAAAGTTGAAAAAAAGCCAAACGCCAAAGTTATTTTCATGTACAATAAAATGCAATAAAAATTAAAATATATTTTCTGGTTGTTGTTGTACTTTTTATTAAAAAAATTACTTGTTGTTGTTGTTGTGCCATTAACAATTATATTTCATTAAATAAGAAACGCTTCAAACCGGAACAATTGTTAAGTAGCCAGCAACAGCAGCCGGTCGTCGGGACTTTTGATTGAAAGCCACCACTTTGCCACACAACAAGATTTTGAGCTGCTGCTGCTGCTGCTTGATGCCGGCGACATAGGTATTGCTGGGTAATGACATTTTCCAATAAATAACAATTTCTAGTATCGCCACTGAAAGGTTTTAAATGATATTCGTAGAGCTGCGGATTATCCGTGGAATTTAGATAATTAACAAATATCGTTTGCTGGGCAAAGAGGTTGCGGAAAATTATATTTTCATTGTCAAGATGGCTTTGCCATAAGAAAGAAGAATTTAGATGGCCACTCAAGGAATTACTGAAAGTGGATGGGGGGATTTTGAGGAGGTAGTTGTGGTTTTCAGAGGATCTAAGACAGAATTGTGAGGAAAAAAGTAAAATATATAATTCATGGGGCAGGGAGAGTTTCAAATTGTTTAATTGATTTTTTATCACGAGGTTATTGGGAAGTTGGGGATTTTTTAGTAATTTTTGTAAACTTAAGGCTAGCTTATATTGTAAATTTTGAGGCAGGGGGTCCTGTCTCCTAAGCTCCTTATAAAATTCTATAAACAAAAGTATCTTAAATTTATAAATTGGTTTGTTGGTTAAGTCCAAACGCTTTAATATTTTGGAGGGTAAAATTAAACCCAAAACTCGGCGTATACAAACTTTGGCACATCTTTGTGTCACTTCCAGGGGCAGAGAGCTTAAATCTGCATCCAGTTTTTGTAATTCTTGAAAATTCTTATTCACCATAATATATTTGAAATGTTCTGCACATTTTGCCATCATTGAAAGCTGCATTTGCATTGAGCCAAAATTAGTTTTGCCCTCCACAAGTTTCAGCACTTCCACTAGCTGCTGTAATTCCAATTTTCGATACCATTCCAATTTAAACTGGTTTAATTTTTGCCACATTCGAGTTTTTGCCAACTCCGAGCTTTCCGTAATCAAAATATGTCGAGCAATTTGGTAAATGGCATTTACATCCGTTACATTTTGTAAAATTAGTTCAGCCTGTTGAAATTGTTGCTGTTGCATTTTTGCCATAAATAATTGTACCAGATTTTCCGCAATTGCCAATTGGGTAATATTCGATATTACAATAACAGCAATAAAAATTGCCATAATACGCTGCCGAATCATGATTTTATATTTATTTATTTTGGAATTCGTTGGAAATAAAAATTAACCTCAGCTTACTTTGTTGCTTAATGTATATTCAAAATTGAACTGATTTGATAATTGCCAATCCGTAAGCTTCAGGGCGGACGGAGATAGTAACGGCATCCCATTTTTTTTCTTTCGCATATGATAAGATTTCAATTTCACATTTTTTTCTTCTTTCATTCAATACACATATCAATTTTGTTGGTTTTGCTTATTTTCTTAATTTTCAGTTCAATTACCCGATTATAAATTGGTTACGGCCGTACCAGTCGTAGTCTTGGATGATGAACATAAAACAGCAACAGCAGCATCAACGTCAACATCATCGTCTTTGCCCCCCACAGCAACCACAACAACATCTGCTAGCAATAATACAATCATGGGTGGCGGAGGTGTCAGCTTAAGTCAAACAGCAACATCCAGCGCCAGAAATGGTAAGTGGATATGGTGTTATCATTATCAGTATACAAAAAAATATCCCAAAAATTACCAGAAAATCCAAAAAATCAATGCACTTTTATGACCCTAAATGTGGATTTTTAAAGCCACTATATGTTTTAATAATGGGTTTAATAGAGAACATTATTCGGATCTTCTATATAGACACCACAAAGGTTTTTATTTTGACCAGAGAATCCTCCTAAAAAATTTTTCTCTTAATAAGGGATATTCTTTATAGAGACTACCTTTCTGCCTGGCTTCAAGTGGATTTTTAAATATTAAACATTTATTGAAAACAAAAATTAATTAATTTTAAAAACTATTTGAGAACTTAGCTTCCTTGATATTGAAAATTTATTGAGAACAAAAATTAATTTGTTTTAATTATATATTTAAAGAATGTTAATTTTCAGATTTAGTTGTAGCTTATATAGTAGAGTAGGAATGGGTTACAACAAATTTATTTAAACGAGTATAAGTCTCAATAATATAATTCCCAATAGACATGGATTTTTTAAAGCCACCATAAAGGCCAATAGGCGTGAATTTTTAAAGAATTTTTTACAGCCACCACAAAGGCCAATAGGCGGTGATTTTTAAAGAATTTGTACAGCCACCACAAAGGCCAATAGGCGTGGATTTTTAAAGATTTTTTTACAGTCACCATAAAGGCCATTAGGCGTGAATTTTTAAAGATTTTTTACAGTCACCATAAAGGCCATTAGGCGTGGATTTTTAAAGATTTGTTTACAGTCACCATAAAGGCCAATAGGCGTGGATTTTTAAAGAATTTTTTTACAGTCACCATAAAGGCCAATAGGCGTGGATTATTAAAGATTTTTTTACATAAAGGCAAATAGGCGTGGATTTTTAAAGATTTTTACAGCCTCCATAAAGACCAATAGGCGTGGATTTTTAAAGATTTTTTTACAGCCACCGTAAAGACCAATAGGCGTGGATTTTTAAAGATTTTTTTACAGCCATCGTAAAGGACAATAGGCGTAGATTTTTAAAGATTTTTTTAGAGCCACCTTAAAGGCCAATAGACGTGGATTCTTAAAGAATTTTTTACAGCCATCGTAAAGGACAATAGGCGTAGATTTTTAAAGAAATTTTTAGAGCCACCTTAAAGGCCAATAGACGTGGATTCTTAAAGAATTTTTTACAGCCACTTCAGCCGAAAGAAGACATCTGATATCTTCTATATATACATTGTATAGATAAAACCTCACACTAAATTTTATTGATAACAAAAATTACATTGAAATTTTATTGAGAACAAAAATTAATTATTTATGATTTATTCCGAAATGATTAAAACTACTAGAAATAAGTGCTATAGAGAAGCTAGAAAGCGATTTTTCACACATTGAAATTTTATTGAGAACAAAAATTAATTATTTATGTTTTATTCCGAAATGAATAAAACTACTTTTGGCCATTAACATTTTTTCTGTAAAAATTTATTGAGAACAAAAATTAATTTTTTTATAATCTTTAATCGCAGTTTTTTAATATAATTCTTAATATTTTAATATAATTCTGTCAAAATGTTAGTAATCACCATTAACTCTTTGACTCCGATTATCAATTTTACCATCCTGTCGTTAAATATTGCGACAAAATTACAAATCATTTGGAATACTCGTAAAATTATCTATAGTTATATTTTATTTCAAAATTTTATTGAGAACAAAAATTAATTATTTTTTTCAGCACTAAATTTACGTAGGTTCCATATTTGCTTTTAAATCATTGTGGCCTTCTTTTGAGATCTTAACACCTAATAAAAAGAAAAAAATATTTAAATAATTATTGCTATGAACTATAAAATTTGAAATGCGAACTAAAACATAAATTTAAATTTGTTTATGATTCAACTTCATAGACAACAGGAACTTTGACCGTAATAGGCAATAACATACGATCATAATTCCAAACAGTTGTAATAAAATATTATTCCATTTTTTTACTGGCGATTATCATTTAACAAAACTGGTAAAGAAAATGATCACCAATCTTAACCTAAATTCCAATATCCTTATTGCTCCAAAAATCTCAGCACCACTATCTTTCTGTTTATGAAATTTTTTTATTTTAATATCTCTGCCTTTTAATGGATCGATTACAAATTTTTAATATTTTGACCCACTATTTTATTTGTTTATTATGATTTTTATATGTATAAATCGTTAATTCCAAACAATAGATAATTCACCATAAATTCTTGTAAACCACATAAATATTGCCATAAAAATAGATATCATCTTCTTTTTTTATTGTTAGGTCCACCAAAAATAGTTATTAATCTGTATGGGTCGTAAATACTGATCACCATCAAAAGAAACCATAAGGTGTCATAAAATCACAGTTTTACAAATCTAAACAATTACACATGCCTACATCGCACACCCATTCACCTAATCTGGGCCATAAAAACGAAGGCCAATATCATGTGTGATTTGTTCAGTTAGCCATTAACTGTTTTAATATTTAGTTTTTCATATTAAAACATATTTGAAAGTTTAGTTTCTTATTTGGCCAGCATTGATTTAATAGCTTACAAAGTGCGCAACAGCATGTGGTGATTTTTCGTGGTTTTCCACCCCTTTTTTCACGTTGTTATTTCTATTATTTTCTGCCTATAATTCTTCTTCGCTTTATGTTGGACTTTTGTGTCCATGTTCACCATAAAATATCTTTTGTTGACCATGTTTTTGTCCAAAGACAACAAATGGACAAAATACCATTTGTTGTGTGTCCACCAGAAAGAGAGTGGTGCTTGGTTCAGGTTGGCCTCTTCCAGTCATCTAATTTGCCTATAAACCCATAGCGACATTTATGGCCACTCTTTGATAATAACCATGAAATCGTAGCACATTCTCGTATATTTTCGCTTTATCATATTACCAGGGCTTAAAAGTCTGCATGGCTTTCCATGACAAACACCACACTACGATCGTCGTCGTCATCATCGGCATCTCCGCCACCTACTTCCCATATAATCATAATGTTGGTAATAATATTTGTTAATATATTGTTAATGTTATGTTAAATGTCATATGTGTCAAATAAAATTGCATGTGATTAGAGGCGTGTGCTTGCTGCATATGCATGCATTCAATGTCGTGTGGTTGGTATGCGGTCGAAACCGCTAATAATAACAAAAAAGAAATCAGAAATTATAGCAGAAATATTGGAATTACTGTTCATATTGGCAAAATAAGAGCATTGGTTGTTCGTTCGCCGAATATATATAACAGAATGCAGGTCAGGAAATGAAGAGATTTCGCTTATGATGATGGCATACGAAGGAAGTTTGCGGAAGAGACAAAGTTTATTTTAAGGGATTGATAGTTTACCCGATATTTTTGAAGAGTAGTCGACGCATCTTATAAACAGGCGAAGTCCGCTTAAATATTTATTCGGAATTTTCAATTACGAAAAACGTATTCTGGTAATCTTTCGAAGTATTAAGGAATTGAATTTTATTGAGAACAAAAATTAATTGTAATTGTTAGACAAGATTATGTTTGAAGAGACAAGATTATGTAAAAAAAACAAACTGGATGTCAACACTTGAAGAAAGAGTACACCAAGGATTATTTAAACGCGCCGAATTCCGTTAAAAGGAATTCAGTTAATAAAGAAAAATGATTTCCTTGTAGTCCCTCGAAGTCCTAAGGAATTGAAGGTTATTGAGAACAAAAATTGATTGGTATTACTTTTTTTATTGAAATAATTATGATGGTTCATGAAGGAACTTTTTGGAAGAGACGTGTTTTGGTTTGAGGTTGTATTACTTATTAATAATTAAACAGGTGACCCAAAATGATTGAAGAAAGGGAAAACTTCCGGATCTTTCATTACCTGTTAAAAAAGAAAAAACGTTTTTCTTCTAATCTTTATGTAATTGAAGTTTGTTGAGAAGCCGGTGGCCTCAAAATGTTTGAAGAAAGAGTAGACCAAGGATTGTGATAAGGATCTATTCTAAATCTTTCACTACCTGTTTTCAAAAATGAAAAATGTTTTCCTTGTAATCTTTACCTAATTTTAAGTTTATTGAGAACGAAAATTGATTAAAAATTTTGCATTGAAATAGCAGAAGCCCTCCACAGTCCATTGGAAAAAGAAACCGATCACCAGGCTCATATTCTAATCCATTATAAACTATGCATAATTAAAACTTATTGAGAACAAAAATTGATTATGTAACAGTTTTTCCCTCTTCGAATGAGTATGAAATGAGTATCAATTCCTGCTTACCAGAAAATCTTCCACTATCCATTACCCGATTTTCCTTTAATATTTTAGATAAAGATCTTGACAACACTTAAATATTCACGATCTCCTTTCCACAAAATACTCCTGCCTTTAAAACCTCGTGAAGACTTTCCCAAAAACTTCTAAGAACATCAAAACCATTCCAAAGAAATACCAAACATAATATATTATCGAATTCCTTAAGAAGCCTTTTATTATATATGTACTCAGGAGGTCCTAAAGGACGCAAAAAGGCACTTAAATTCTTAAATGACGTCAAGAAATTTTTTATATTTCTTGAATTCTCTTAACGTCTTCTCCTTCAATAGATCTGTCAAAAGCTAATTTTCTTCGAAAAGTGTTCGAGACCTCCTTCAAGACATTTTAAAAGACTTCTAAAACATGTTAAAAGTCTCCATGTACTTCTTTTAGAAATCATCAAGTAACTAGAAACATTTTAATTTTATGAAAAACGAAAAACAGGAATTTCATATAGAATCCGTTAGAAGTTTAAGACCCTTTGAAGGTATTTTGACGCTTATATGTGTATTCAAGACGTTCTAAAGGTCACAAAGATCTCAAAATACTATTGAAGGCTTTCTAAACCTAACAACGACACTTAAAGATCACTCAAGACCTAAAAGTTATTTGCGATTTCCTAAAGAAACAGTTGCAGTGTTCGTACGCCATTTAAAACCCTTGTATTCAGCAGCTTCTATATGTATTCAAG